ACTGACATTCTCTTCGTAAGTCGTGGCTTTCAAGGAAAGTCCGAGATTTGGGCCGGAGACTCCGCTGGATTGCTGGCAACCCCTTACACTGTACCCCGATCTCGCCGGCTCCACTCGTGGTCAAAACCTCTGGCTCGGGTCACAGTGTCCAGGCCCCTGCCCTGTATGCCTCTGCGGTGACCCCGCCGTGGCGCGCCGAGCCCCTGAGCCGACCCGACCTGACCGCCCGTTCGCCGGCAGACCTGCGGTTCGCGTTCGAGATCGCGCCCCGCGAGCAAAGCAGCATCATCCTGTTCGCCAAGACGGCGCAGGATAAGAACGAGTGGATGGCGAGCCTCATCATGCTCAACACGAAAAGGTGCGGAAGCTTAGGAGCTGGGCCGGCGCCGCGCCGGCGGCGCTGTGGGATGTCGGTGCGGTGCGCTTGGCAGCGCGCGCTTAGAGGCCGCTTTGTCCAGGCGTGGACCGGACTGCCGTATTGCGACTGCCTTCTCTCGTGGCGGAGCTGTTGGGTTCGGGGCTCTAGCGCCAGTCTATGGTTCAGTGTGATAAATGTGTATTAAATGCGATATCATATGTGGGTCGCTGTTGTTGGCTCGTGGAAGGAGTGTCTAACAGGCGACGTAGTCACGATATGGCTCATTATGGTGGTCAGTGGCAATACATGTCTGGCTCGTAGAAGGAGTGTCGAACAGGTGACGGAGTCACGATATGGGTCACTATGTTGGTCAGTGGTAAGGCATGGTCTCTAACACTCGGCGGATATCATTCACAGCTATCGTTTGGTGTGCTGCCTTTCCGTGACCTTCCCGTACCTGACTAGCCCTGACCTGACCCGCCCTGGCCTGACATTCACTGACTTGGTCCACCCTGACCTGACCGACCCCTGTGTCGCCGGCAGCATGCTGGACCGCTCGCTGGACATGCTGCTGCTGGACGAGGAGAAGAAGAACCCGCTGCGCCGTCCCGACCCGGAGCAGTACCGGTTCGCCGAGCCGGACAGCCCCGACAACATCGTGCTGGAGCAGCCAGAGGCGGCCGGCGTGCCTCTCATTAAGGTGAGTCCGCGCGCCGGCCCGGACGCGCCGCCGCCGCCGTCGCCGCATCGGGCGGCAGGGGCGGCCGGCTGCGGGGTGAGGTTCGCTCTCGGTGCTGTCCGCAGGTGTCTCGTCCGCCAGCCTTCTGTGCGCTGGCCGATCAGGAACACGCTTCCCCAGTGATTCGCTGACGACAGGCGGCGAATATGGCCCATGTGCCTACCAGCTGTGTCCCATTATCTGCCCACTGATAGCTGGACTGACGATGTGCCGTCCCCTCTGTGTGTTTTCGCTGAACACAGGCTCTTCTGCCCGCCAGCTCCTTGTTGTGGTGTCCCCTGACGCTCTGCATACTTGGCTCCAGTGTGTGTGTGTGTGTGTGACGCGCCACCGGCCTGCCGACAGGGCGCCACGCTGACCAAGCTGACGGAGCGGCTCACGTACCACATGTACGCCGACCCCATGTTCGTCAGGACCTTCCTCACCACATTCCGCAGCTTCTGCACCGCCCAGGTATGTGCCGTCACAACCGCGGCGGACGGCAGTTGGCTCTCGCACGCCATGTCATGCCGACCATGTCCTGCGCCGAGACTGGCTGTTGTGTTTTCGGCTTCTCAAGTGTCAACACACGATTGGGTGTTTCTCTGCTAAAGTTTACGATCGGCTCCATTGCCAGTTTTTATTGCGAACACGCAATATTTGCTGTATGCGGGCGTAGCGTGTTGCGTCATTGCAAGCCTCGCTTTTCTAAGCTCACGCATTGAGCATGGATCGTCCTTGCCTACGACTTGCAGCCATATTATCATCTTGTAATTTCCGCAACGCACACAAGTTCCTCGCCAAACGCTGCCCTACCCCGCTCGGCCGTGCCGGCCGCCGGTGTAAGCGCCGCTGACGGCGATGCAGCGTCACGAGCTGCTCTGGCTGGCCACGCCACTCCGCCCCATCCGTCCGGCGCGCCGTCGCGAGCTGCTCTGGCTGGCCACGCCACTCAACCCCATCCGTCCGGCGCGCCGTCGCGAGCTGCTCTGACTGGCCATATCATTCAACCCCATCCGTCCGGCGCGCCGTCACGAGCTGCTCTGGCTGGCCGTGCCACTCCGCCCCATCCGTCCGGCGCGCCGTCACGAGCTGCTCTGGCTGGCCGTGCCACTCCGCCCCATCCGTCCGGCGCGCCGTCACGAGCTGCTCTGGCTGGCCGTGCCACTCCACCCCGTCCGTCCGGCGCGCCGTCACGAGCTGCTCTGACTGGCCACGCCATTCCGCCCCACCCGTCCGGCGCGCAGTCACGAGCTGCTCTGACTGGCCACGCCATTCCGCCCCACCCGTCCGGCGCGCCGTCACGAGCTGCTCTGACTGGCCACGCCATTCCGCCCCACCCGTCCGGCGCGCAGTCACGAGCTGCTCTGACTGGCCACGCCATTCCGCCCCACCCGTCCGGCGCGCAGTCACGAGCTGCTCTGACTGGCCACGCCATTCCGCCCCACCCGTCCGGCGCGCCGTCACGAGCTGCTCTGACTGGCCACGCCATTCCGCCCCACCCGTCCTGCGCGCCGTCACGAGCTGCTCTGACTGGCCACGCCATTCCGCCCCACCCGTCCGGCGCGCAGTCACGAGCTGCTCTGACTGACCACGCCATTCCGCCCCATCCGTCCGGCGCGCAGTCACGAGCTGCTCTGACTGGCCACGCCATTCCGCCCCATCCGTCCGGCGCGCAGTCACGAGCTGCTCTGACTGGCCACGCCATTCCGCCCCACCCGTCCGGCGCGCCGTCACGAGCTGCTCTGACTGGCCACGCCATTCCGCCCCCACCCGTCCGGCGCGCCGTCACGAGCTGCTCTGACTGGCCACGCCATTTCCGCCCCACCCGTCCGGCGCGCAGTCACGAGCTGCTCTGACTGGCCACGCCATTCCGCCCCATCCGTCCGGCGCGCAGTCACGAGCTGCTCTGACTGGCCACGCCATTCCGCCCCACCCGTCCGGCGCGCAGTCACGAGCTGCTCTGACTGGCCACGCCATTCCGCCCCACCCGTCCGGCGCGCCGTCACGAGCTGCTCTGACTGGCCACGCCATTCCGCCCCATCCGTCCGGCGCGCAGTCACGAGCTGCTCTGACTGGCCACGCCATTCCGCCCCATCCGTCCGGCGCGCAGTCACGAGCTGCTCTGACTGGCCACGCCATTCCGCCCCACCCGTCCGGCGCGCAGTCACGAGCTGCTCTGACTGGCCACGCCATTCCGCCCCCACCCGTCCGGCGCGCCGTCACGAGCTGCTCTGACTGGCCACGCCATTCCGCCCCATCCGTCCGGCGCGCAGTCACGAGCTGCTCTGACTGGCCACGCCATTCCGCCCCATCCGTCCGGCGCGCAGTCACGAGCTGCTCTGACTGGCCACGCCATTCCGCCCCCACCCCGTCCGGCGCGCAGTCACGAGCTGCTCTGACTGGCCACGCCATTCCGCCCCACCCGTCCGGCGCGCCGTCACGAGCTGCTCTGACTGGCCACGCCATTCCGCCCCATCCGTCCGGCGCGCAGTCACGAGCTGCTCTGACTGGCCACGCCATTCCGCCCCACCCGTCCTGCGCGCCGTCACGAGCTGCTCTGACTGGCCACGCCATTCCGCCCCATCCGTCCGGCGCGCCGTCACGAGCTGCTCTGACTGGCCACGCCATTCCGCCCCACCCGTCCGGCGCGCAGTCACGAGCTGCTCTGACTGGCCACGCCATTCCGCCTCATCCGTCCGGCGCGCCGTCACGAGCTGCTCTGACTGGCCACGCCATTCCGCCCCACCCGTCCGGCGCGCAGTCACGAGCTGCTCTGACTGGCCACGCCATTCCGCCCCACCCGTCCGGCGCGCAGTCACGAGCTGCTCTGACTGGCCACGCCATTCCGCCCCACCCGTCCGGCGCGCCGTCACGAGCTGCTCTGACTGACCACGCCATTCCGCCCCACCCGTCCGGCGCGCAGTCACGAGCTGCTCTGACTGACCACGCCATTCCGCCCCATCCGTCCGGCGCGCCGTCACGAGCTGCTCTGACTGACCACGCCATTCCGCCCCACCCGTCCGGCGCGCAGTCACGAGCTGCTCTGACTGACCACGCCATTCCGCCCCATCCGTCCGGCGCGCAGTCACGAGCTGCTCTGACTGACCACGCCATTCCGCCCCATCCGTCCGGCGCGCAGTCACGAGCTGCTCTGACTGGCCACGCCATTCCGCCCCACCCGTCCGGCGCGCGGTCACGGCGGTACTGCCCGGCCGGGCGGCCCGCGCCGGCCACCGGCCCGCTGAGCGCGGCGCCGTGACCAGCGGCCGGGGTCGACAGGAGCTGCTGACGCTGCTGTTGGACCGGTACGACATCCCCGAGCCGGGCGCGCCGCCCGACCATTCGCCCACGCCGCCCGGCCTCGACACCAAGGCCGTCAAGGCCACGCTGCGCGACGACATCAAGCGCTTTCGCAAGGAGTACAGCCAGCCGGTCAAGTTCAGGTGCGGCCGGCGATGGGCAGGGCTACAGGGCGGGGCGGGCCGACTTCGGGGACGGCTTAGGAGGTGGGCTTCCGCAAGGAGTACAGCCAGCTGGTCAAGTTCAGGTGCGGCCGGCGATGGACAGGGCTACAGGGCGGGGCGGGCCGACTTCGGGGACGGCTTGGGAGGTGGGCTTCGGCAAGGAGTACAGCCAGCCGGCCAAGTTCAGGTGCCGTCGGCGATGGGCAAGGGTACAGGGCGGGCGGGCCGACTTCGGGGACGGCTTGGGAGGTGGGGATCTGAACAGAAGTTGCCTAGTGGCGTCCTCTAATCACGGTCAGTGCATTTCTTCATCACGCAAGGGCGCGTCCGGCAGTGCCAGACAGGCCTGCTTCCAACGTCTTCATGGTCCGTGAGACATGTCATAATGCTTGCCGAAATTCAAGCTCCCAACAAATCGCGTTGAGCACGTTGGCATGCTTTGTTTGTGAATATGTATTCGTTGTGGTCTGTGATGTCGCCCGTTTGTCGGGCCGCCCGTCGAGTGTCGTGTTTGCCGTGCTGAATCGGCCCGCTGTCGGCAGGGTGCTGAACGTGCTCCGCCACTGGGTGGACCACCACTTCTACGACTTCGAGCGGGACCAGCAGCTGCTGCAGCGTCTGGAGGCGTTCCTTCTCGAGATCAAGGGCAAGGTGATGCGGAAGTGGGCCGACAGCATCCTGAAGATCATTCACCGCAAGGTGGGCTGGCTGCGCAGGCGGAGGGCCGGTGCGCGGCGGGGATCGGACGCGAACGCGAGGTGTTTCTGACGAGAGTGCCGTTCCAGTTGATGATTGGCTGCTTGTCAGTGTCCAGCGTGGTCCTGTGCGTGTCGGCTGTGTGATACGCGCTTTTTGCTTTGTTTAATAATCTTGGTACCTTGTTGAGGGAATATGGTGACTGAATGCGGCCAGTGGATTAGAAAATCGCTTGGCGTTTTGCTGCGTGAATGAGCTGTACGCAGTCCGGGACCAATTTATTGATGAGTTGGGTAGCAGTCAATTTTGCACTGTTCGTTATCTTGGACAAAACAGTGAAAGACCAGACTAGGCCTCAAAGCCATAGGGAGAGGAGGAAGTGCTGCGGGACGGGTGTAACCTCAGCGAAATTGTTTATGTTCATACAACATCCGTTGTGCTTGACCACAGCGGCTGCTGGCCCGTGTGACCATCCGGCCGTCCGTTGCCGCGTGGTCGGTGGTGTGGCGTGGTGAGGCCCAAGCCCACCGCCGTCGCCTGACCCCCCCCCCCCCTCCCCATCCGCCAGCGGCTGAATCGGGAGGAGCTCAAGCCGGAGGTGGTGTTCGGCGTTGATCGCTCGCCGCCGCCCACCGAGTGGCACCTCTTCAAGAGCGAGGACGACTGGAAAAATCCGTCGGTACGGCCGTGGTGCGGGAGGCGGGCCGGGCCGGAGACGGGCAAGGGAGAGGCAGGGGCCGGGACTTCAGCATGGGAAGCGAAGCAGGAGACAGGGCTCGCCTACAATATGCTGGGGGTGGAAGTGCGGGATTGTGTCGGTTATCCGGTGATTGAGGAACGTACCACTTGCGGGGATCTGTCGGTGCCGGCAAGGTTGCCGTTATGTCGGTTCCGAGCGGGCGTGCGACGCTGGTGCGTAGTGCTGGCTGGCTGGTGATCATTGTGACGTCAGCTTTCATCTTACGATGGCCAAGTCTTGTGTGGGAGTGGTGCGTTCAGTTTGTGGCGTGCCCAAACTTGAGCATCATCAGTCCAGCCTACTGTCTGGTGCTCCGGTGTGTAGTGAGTCGGTTGCTGAGTGGCGCGGCTTGTTAACGTGCTGTGTGAGTGTGTGTGTCGCTCTGACCGGCGGCGCAGCTGGCGCTGGGCTCCGACTGACGTCCGCCGGCCGGCAGGAGGACCTGGTGAAGCCGCTGCTCATGCTGCACCCGATCGAGGTGGCCCGCCAGCTGACCTTGCTCGAGTTCGACCTGTACCGGGCCGTCAAGCCGGCAGAGCTGGTCGGCTCCGTCTGGACCAAGGAGAACAAGCAGCAGGCGTCACCCAACTGCTGCGCATGATCCACCACAACACAAACGTCAGTCGGCCGCCGCGCGCCGCCGACCGCCGGCTGGCGGACGGTCCAGCGGCTGGCACTGGCTCCGCGGCCGGACGCCGCGAGCGCGGAGTCCGGTGGTGGGGTACTGATTCACTGGGGTGTGTGGCGGTACCGGTCACAGTCGCCGCCTGGTGACCCTGTTTAACTGGGTGTGCCCGCGTGTCCGTGCGGCGCCGCGAGGCTCCAGGTTGGACCTCGCGGTCCTAGGAGTCGCCGCGGAACCGAGGCCGGCCTTGCGGTCTCTGCCGCGTGTCGCCCCCGCGTGATCGGTCGCCCGCCGCCCCTGCCGACGCTGACTGATCGCCGTCCGCCGCAGGTGACCCGCTGGCTGGAGAAGTGCGTGGTCGACACGGAGAACATGGACGAGCGGCGCGCCGTGGTGTCGCGCGTCATCGAGATCATGATGGTGCTGCAGGAGCTCAACAACTTCAGCGGCGTGCTGGAGGTGGTGGCCGCGCTGGATAGCGCCGCCGTCCACCGGCTCATCCTCACCTTCGAGGTAGGGGCTCGGGCGACGCCGCCGGCGTGGCGTGACGCTACGGGTCGGTCGCCACCGGCGTCATGGTCGCATAACGGTCGCCGCCTTGTGCGGATTCTCACGGATGTGGTGTTCGGTTTGGTCGCGTTTTCCGTGAAGGCGGGACAATGGGTGGTAGTGCGGTGCGAACTGCGATTGGTGTGTGGGCGGCATGTCGTGCTGAGCAGTATCACGACAAAGCTTGCCACCACCATGCCTGTGAAAGGGTAGCCAAAACGCCTCACAGTCGTTTTATGCGCTTGTGAGCTGCCTGGCGTCGACGGCGTGTAGAGCTTCAACAGATGCCACCGCATCGTCGCCATGTAGCGCGGGTGGTGATGGGGGCAGCGCCGCGCGCGTCTGTCACTCCTCCGCCCACCTCCAGGAGATCGTGCCCAAGCTGGACCGGGCGCTGGAGGAGGCGCGCGAGCTCTGTAACGACCACTACAAGCGGTACCAGGAGAAGCTGCGCTCCATCAACCCCCCCTGCGTGCCGTTCTTCGGTGAGCGCCGGCCGCGGGCCTGAGTCGTGTCGGGGCTCTCTGTGGCGTTGAGCCGCACGGCCAGCGTGCGACGCTGTGAGGTGTGCGGCTGGTTAGCCCGGGGCCGGTGTTGCGCGGGTGTCGGCTCTGCGTGAGCGGCTGCTTCCCACGAGCACTGACGGCGACGGCCGGCGTTTGCAGGCATGTACCTAACCAACATCCTGCACATCGACGAGGGCAACCCGGACTTCCTGCCCAAGTCGGACCGGCTGATCAACTTCAGCAAGCGGCGGAAGGTGGCCGAGATCACGGGCGAGATCCAGCAGTACCAGAACCAGCCGTACTGCCTGCGGCCCGTGCCCAAAATCAGGGTCAGTGACGGCGCCGGCCGCGCGTTCCGGGCGCCAGGTTGGGTGGTGGCGAGGGGTTGGGGAAGGGGAGCTGTAAGGGAGAGACGTGCGGTGCGTCTTGACGCCGGAGTTAGCGGCGTCGCTCTAGCCCGGTAAGTGAAGACACCGATGGGGTCTTAGCCTGCACCCAGCCAGGTCGAGTGGACACACATAGCGTCGGGCGGCGGGGTCACGGGAAGCCGCAGCGGGCGAGGCGTGGTGCTGTGGCGCCGTGCGAGCGGTGTCGGTGCCGGCGGGACGCGTCCCCGGCGTTCAGGACGCCCTGGTCCAGGCTGTGTGGCTCTCTCGTGTCGGACGAGGAGCTGGTGCCGAACGTCCGTCCGTCGGCGACGGCCGCCCCCTCCACCGCCGGCTGCTGACGGTCCCCACCCGCCCGCTGTCGGCAGAGCTTCTTGGAGAACCTGCGGCCGTTCGAGGAGGGCAAGGAGACGGAGGACATCAACAACTACCTGTACACGCGCTCGCTGTACATCGAGCCGCGCGGCTGCCGCGTGCCGCCCAAGTTTGTGAGTAGCCGGAGGGGCTGCGGCCGGTCCTCACGGAGTCATGTGGCGGACTCAACTCACCGGTGCCGCAGGTCATTTGGGTCGGTCTTTGCGCCCGTGGGCTCAGGATGATCGTGCACGAGACACGATTGGGTAGAATTGGGTAGGGCAGGAGGGACGGCAGCCATGGCCATTGCTCGTAGATTGGGACGAAGGGACAGCTGATTAGATCGCCTGACGTGCTTCGTGGCAAAGCCCGCGGAGATGTTTTCCCAACCTGACATCACACACCATTGACGTCTGCTCTGGCATCCGACCTATGTCGCCGCAATGCGGCTGCGGCCTGGGTCGGCGAGTGGCGCGCTGTCGGCCGTGTCCGCCGTGTCCGCCTGACGCACCGTGTCCGCCGGGCAGCCGCGCCAGTGGGACGGCATGTCGCTGCGCTCGCCGGGCATCAAGCCGCGCCGCTCCAACGTACCGCACCCGCTGCCGGCCATGCGGCTGTCGTCGTCGATGCGCATCGCCGAGGAGGCCGACTCGGACACGCCGCGCGTGCTCACGCCGCCGACGCCGTCGACGCCGTGCTCGCCGCCGCACACGGCCAACAGCGACCACAGCGTGTTCGCCAACGTCATCGTGGGCGTCGCCAGCAACGGCTCCGGTGAGCTGCGCCAAGCCCGGGCGTTGGGAGCGAGCGCTTAGAGTCCCGCCACCAGCCCGGGTGGCGCCCTGAGTCCGTGGTGGATGCAGACGTGTGGGCTTTGTGAGGTGTTTTGCGTTGCTGGCTCGTAATCCACGCTCGTGTACTCTAGAAGCACGTCCGGTACGTCTGTGCTCAGTGCTCTATCGCACACGCAGTGGCATCCAAGTAATGGCTTCCATCCACGCATCCGTATATGTTGAGTTGCTGGCGTCGGCCGTCTTGTGGCCGCCTGGCCTGAGGTCCGCGTGCCGCGCGCAGCACAACTGCCCGTGATGAGCCAGCACCGCGCGTGACCTTGCTGACCTGGGCCGTGTCCGGCTCGGCAGGGTTCGGCCTGACGAGTCAGTACAGCGCGCCAGCCGGCCTGACGCAGCAGCCGCCGCCGCTGCCGCCGCGCCGCAAGCGCGAGCTCTCGCTGGCCGACCCGCCCGGCCGCGTGCAGCAGGCGCCGGACGCGCCGCAGCTGCCGCCGCGCAACACGTCGCCGCCGCCGCGGCCGCCGCGCCGCGACCAGCCGCTGCCGCGCATGCACTCGGCCAGCACGCTGGTGCACGCCTTCCCGCCGCCGGAGGTGCCGCTGCCGCGGCGCAACTCGTCGGTGGACTCGCCGCCGCTGCCGCCGCCGCCGCCGGCCACGCTGCCGCGCCGCCTGCCGGCCGGCGCCGACCCCATGGCAGACGCGTTCGCCAAGCTCGGCCTCGGCGCGGAGAGAGGTGAGTAGCGGGGCGGCGGCGCGCCGGAGGACTCGGGGCGGAGAGGGGGCTGGGCGCTGACAGCTGCGGTTGAGTCGGGCGAGGGTGTGGGCAGGTTGTTGGGATGCGGTGCCGGTGGTTGTTGGGTTATGCAGCTGTCAAGGACGCACGGCCGAGTGGTCGTGAGCGGTTCTCGCCGTCAGCCCGCTGCTAGCACGCCGTGCTAGTCGTTGACGATGACCGAAATCTCTGGGTACACAGCGGACGCAGTTGTCGGCGCGCCCTCGCAAACCCCAGTCGTTCACCATCGGTGTATTACCACTTGGGGTGTGCCTCACAACGCAAGGCTCATTTCACAGCTGTTTCAATTATAGGCATATTAGTGCCATGTAGGCATGTAACCGGCTTGAAAATGTCAAATTTTGCACTGTATCATTTGGCATTGGTGACTAGGAAGATTTGGAGAAACTTACGTGGTACTGACGCCGTACCGTTCGTCACGCCGGCACCGCGCGAACGGAAAGCTCCCATGCCCCCCACCAGCGTCCGTGAACCAGGCAACCGATGCGGGAGCTGCTGCTGGTGTGCGGCCGACCGCGGTGGCGCGGCCTCTGACGCGCGCCCCCGCGCCCACAGGCGGCGGTGTCCGCTCGGCCAGCCCGTCCTCGGGCAGCCGGAGCGCGCGCGACCTGCAGCCGCACCGCAACCACTTCAACTTCAACTTCACCCTGTCGTCGACGCTGCCGTCGGCCGCCGCCGGGCCCCAGCTGCCGCCGAAGCCGTACCGTCAGCCGTGTTCGCTGTCGGAGCCGGGCGGCGCGCCGTAGGCGGCCGCTTGGCGCCCCGTACGACGAACTCTGCTGTGATAGATTGTTGACAAATGGTGCGAATATTTCTATTAGGTGTAATTGGAGCCGCGCGGCGCGGCGAAGGCCGCCGGTGCGCGGTGGTGTCCGCGGCGGACTCGCGTGCCCGGCGGCGGACACGCGGCCGCTTGCCCGCACCCGTGCCCGGCGCCAGTGGCGCCCTCTGCCGAGGCGGCCAGCGCGCCGCGGCGCGCCGGAGACGTGGCTGGCAATCGCCCAGCGCCAGATGGCGGCCAGCACGCATTGATCTCAGTAGAGAGCGCGGCTCCTCCAAACGAAGATAGGTTCAGCGGTTTTCGCTTATGTTGCCATATATACGCTCATTATCAGTGTCGTGAACGCGTACAGACAGACCGAGGCACTTTTACCCATACGACAACAACGACGTTTATGTGGAGGTTGTTTTGGGAGGATGCGCATTGTTGATGACGAATGATATCAATTTGACCGGGGTTTACTAGTTGTCATTTAAACGGCCCGTCCCGGATACAGATGGCTTTAAGCGGCGGTCTGGCCGGCCGCGCGGCCCGGCTGGCGCCGGCCGGCGCCGTCCCGCGGCCGCCGGTCCGGGCCTGGCGCGGCGCCGGCGTCGCGACCGCGCCGCCCCGGGGCCGCCCCCCGGCCGGCACCCGCGGCACTGTACCGTCGTCGCTGTAATATACAATTGTACATAGGACTGCGGAAGCGTGTTTGGTGACGACCGGCCGGGATGGCGTCCGTGAACTGGACCCACGCCGCCATGGACTGGTGCGTGGCAGGACGCTGAAGCACGGCACCAGGCAGGCTTTGTTGTGGCTAAAGAAGATGATGGTGTTTTGCCCACCGGGCGGTGGTTATTACTATTATTAGTATTATTACTGTTATTATTGTTGTTATTATTGTCATTGCCTTGTCGCTTGTCTGCGGAAACCGGCTGGGGCTGGTGGAAGAAGGCTCGCATTGCCAACCGTCCCACGTCAGATTATCGACAGGAGAGACAGCTCCTCGCTTCAGCTGGGGTGCTGCACGAGCTCGAGGTGGGACGCACGGTGCAGGCGGGGACGGAGAGAAAAAGGATATGGTCAAAGTGACGTAATGGCGTAACAATTCGGCCAACAAAAGCGAGGGTGCATCGTCAAACATCTGTCCGCACAGGGGGTTCCCAGGTATAATGGGCAAAGTTCATGCTACGCAGTTTTGCTGCCCGCTTCATGCGTCATAACTGGATGAAACATGTTTGCTCTCCCGATGCTTTATTTGCCCCCCATCCCCCTTTGGCATTCCCTTCACTCGATCCTCTCTAACATGTGCAGAGAGAGCTGGGGTGAGCCTTCTTTGTCATTTTTCGTTTTTCTCTCCTGTTGTTCCGTCTTCGGTATCCCTCTCTGCTTCCCGCATCCCGTTCTCTTCACTCTTCCTTGTCCTCTAGGAGTTTCTCGCTCTGCCTCTCTTGCCTGCTTCTGTTTCGCTCACATATATCTCCTCTGTCTGTCTTTTCTTCTTGTTGTCTTCTGTCTCTTTCTTCGGTCCTGTAATATAGGTCTTCAGTCATCTATCTTTTGTTCTCTTAACCAATGCGTACGGTTCGATATCTGTTTTCCCCACTCGTTCTCTTATATCCCTTCTTCCTTCTTTCTGTTTCTCTTTCCCCTCTCTCTTTCTGTTTCTCTTTCCCCTCCTTCGCCGCCTGCCGAACCAAAAAAAGCACGCACAATTCACGCACACTAGTAGCTGCACATAACCCACTGCGCGCACACGCACTGACAAACAAGGGAGACGACCGGGCGGCGCGGACGAAAACAGGCCGCCGGCGCCCGGTCGCTGACCAGCAATACCCGGCACTGAGCGTCATCGGCCTTGTGAAGGCCATTATGGAATGCCTCGGCGCCCACGGCTCGGTCCGGGACAAATACTCCAGCTGCCGCCGGCCGGCCGGGAGGCCGCCGCGGCCAGCGACCTCTGTTGGCCCGCAGCGGTGCTTACTTTAGCTGCGCATCGCCGGAGGTGATCAGCCGCTCATTGCAGAGCAGTGTTTACGCATAACTCAGTACTTTCCAGTAGACAAACATAACGTCGGCGCGCTGCCAAGATGTAATGATGTTGTTTACTCTATTTACAACTACAAAACAGGTCGACAGGAACAAAAACGACAATAACAAGTCGGTACAATAACAGCGGCGGCCGGGCTGGCGCCGCCGCCCGCGGCCAGCCGGCGGTCTTACGGGGCGAGTCCGTCCCGTGAGGTGCGCACATCGCGGCCGGACGATGGCTGAACGCCTGCGTCCCGCGGACGCGCCACCAATGCGGAACAGGATGGAGCGGCCTGCAGCAGCCTGCAGGACCCAGGATAGCGAAGCGGCTCAACAGATGGCCGCTGGCTGGGGAGACGCCGCAGCCTCAGAAGGCGGTGGGCGCTCTCCGGGCGGGTCCGCTTTGGTTTGGAGTGGGTCGTTCTGTCCGTCGCACACGCCAGTTGTCGCTGCTACTCCTTATCACGTCGCATCCAAGTCTATTCATCAAGCTCGGCTGAGGGTCAAGTTGGGGCATCTTGATTAGCTCCGAATCCGACTATTACAAGGCGTATAGCCGTAAGATGGGTAAAAAAGGCTGCAGAACGGGCTTGTCCAAGTGGACATACGTGGGCGTACCAGCCGCGGCAGGTTATAGTCTTCTGCCGGTTCAAAATTGCATGAATTGTTTGTGCTGTTTTGTGTTTTGCTTTTGTTGTTAAGTGTAATTAACTTCTGCTATCCTCTTCGATAAAGGCCTGCTGCCAAAATTTTAACTCATCTGCATCTCCATTCGCCTGCTTTTTCTCCGAGGAACAAGGCTATTTCTGCTCTCTTAGTCGTCCATCGGATGTAATCCGTGCGTCCGGCAGTCGAATGCACTCATCCATAGGAAACATCCCGTGCAAACGACAGGTGGCTCGGCCGTCACTGGACACCGCTCGTGCAACAGCGCACGGGCATGTCCGTAAAGTTAGCGATTTATTCAGCGATTTTTTCAGCGACGAGTTCCGATTTCCCTGCAAAACGGTTACAAGGTCAATTGCGGCATGAGAACAGCAAAAATGACCCTTATTTTGCCATCTCATGTGACCTTCAAGGTCAAAAGCTGGGTCAAAGGACGGGGAACTCGATATCACCCAAAAATTACCCGCCTACTTTCAACTTGCAAGTGTCAGAATATTCAGCACAGAAAAAAATTGCCTCCATCCAAAATTTCTGACCTCTCAAGGTCACCATTCAAGGTCAAACGCCGGCCCAAAAGACGAGGAACTTTACATCACCAAAGAATAACCGGCTGCTTCTTAACTTAAAAACATCAGAATATTCACCACAGAAAGAGCTAGCGTCCGTCTTAAAGTCCTGACCTCTCAATGTCACCCTTCAAGGTCAAACACGGGCTCAAAGGACGGCGAACCCTATGTCACCCAAAAATTACCGGCCGATTTTTAACTTACAAACATTAGAATATTTACCACAAAAGACTAGCGCCCGTCATAAAGTCCTGACCTCTCAAGGTCACCATTCAAGGTCAAACTCGGACTCAAAGGACGGGGAACTCGATATCACCCAAAAATTGCCGGTCTATTTTAATCTTAAAGACGTCAAAATATTCACCACAGAGATAGCTAGCGTGCCTCATTAAGTTCTCACCTGTCAAGGTCACCCTTCAATGTCAAACACGGGCTCAAAGGACGGGAAGCTTCATATCACGCGAAAATTACGGGCCGAGTTTTAACTTACAAACGCCAGAATATTCACCACAGAAAGAACTAGCGCCCGTCAAAATGTTCTTACCTCTCAAGGTCACTCTTTAAGGACAAACGTGGCCTTAAGTGACAGGCAACTCAATATCATCCAAAAATTACCGGTCGATTCTTACCTTATATAAATCAAAACATTCGTGACAGAATGAGCTAGCGTCCGTTAAAAAGCCCTGACCTCTCAAGGTCACCTTTCAAGGTCAAACACGGGCTCAAAGAACGGGAAACTTCATGTCACCCAAAAATTACCGGCCGATTTTTAACTTACAAACATCAGAACATTCACCACAAAAAGAACTAGCGCCCATTCAAAGCCTCTGACCTCTCAAGGTCACCCTTCAAGGTCAAACACGGGCTCAAGGGACGGGGAACTCCATATCAGCCAAAACTTAGTGCCCGATTTTTACCTTACAAGCATCAGAATATTCACCACAAAAAGAATCAGCGTGCGTCAGAAAGTCCTGACCTCTCAAGGCCACTCTTTAAGGTCAAATGCGGGCTTAAAGGATGGGGAACTCCATATCACCCAAAAATTACCGGCCGATCTTTACCTTTTCAAGATCAAAACATTTACCACAAAATGAGCTAGCGTCCGTCAAAAAGTCCTGACCTCTCAAGGCTACCCTTCAAGGTCAAACGCGGACTCAAAGGGCGGGGAACTCTATATCACCAAAAAAATTACCGGCCGATTTTTAGCTTACAAAGATAAGAACATTCACCACAGAAAGAGAAAAGTAAAACAAAACAAAAAGTCCGACAAAAAGTATTGGTTTGTCAAGGTCATCCTTCAAGGTCAAACGCGGGCTCAAAAGACGGGGAACTCTACATCACCCACAAATTACCGGTCGATCTTTTACTTGTAAACATCAAAACAATTACCACAGAAAGAGCTAGCGCCCGTCAAAAGTCCTAACGTTTCCTGGTCGCCCTTCAAGGTGAAATGCGGACTGGAAGGACGGGGAACTCCACATCACCCAAAAATTACCGGCCTATTTTAAACTTACAAACATCAGAATATTTTTCACGGAAAGAACTAGGGGATTTAGGAAATAGGGGACTTTTTACGGACGCTAGTTCTTTCTGTGGAAATATACAGATGTTTATAAGTTTAAATAGGCCAATACTTTTTGGGTGATGTGGAATTCCCTGTCCTTTGAGCCCGCACTTGACCTTGAAGGGTGACCTTGAGATGTCAGGATTTTTTGAAGGACGCTAGCTCTTTCTGTGGTGAATGTTTTTATCTTTGGAAATAAAAATCGGCCGGTAATTTTTGGGTGATATGGACTTCCCTGTCCTTTGAGCCCGCGTTTGACCGTGAAGGGTGACCTTGAGAGGTTAGGACTTTTGAAGGACTCTTTGTGTGATGAATGTTCTTATGTTTGTAAGTTAAAAATCGGCCGGTGTTTTTTGGGTAATAAGGAGTTCCCCGTCCTTTGAGCCCGTGTTTGACCTTGAGGGGTGATCTTGACAGGTCAGAACTTAATGACGGACGCTAGCTCTTTCTGTGGTGAATACTCTGATGTCTTTAAGTTTAAACTTGGCCGGCAATTTTTGGGTGATTTAGAGTTCCCCGTCCTTTGAGCCAGCGTTGACCTTTAAGAGTGACCTTGAGAGGTCAGGCCTTTTTGATGGACGCTAGTTCTTTCTGTGGTCAAAGATCTGATCTTTGAAAAATAAAAATCGGCCGGTACTTTTTGGGTGATATGAAGTTTTCCGTCCTTTGAGCCCGTGTTTGACCTTGAAGGGTGACCTTGAGAGGTCGGGACTTTTGGACGAACACTGGTTCTTTCTGTGTTGAATGTTCTGACATTTGCAAGTTCAAAATCTGCCGGTAATTTTTGGAAGATATAGACCTCCCCGTCCTTTGACCCTGAAGGTCACATGATATTGTAAAATAATGGTCATTTTTGGTGTTCTCATGCCACCATTGACCTTGAAACTATTCTTCAGGGAAATCGGAACTCGTCGCTGAAAAATTCGCTGAACAGCATCGCACGGGCGTGGTTAACGATCAACCTCATTTCGGGTCAACAGCAACTGGGTACATAAACCGTCCGCTGGGCGTGTCCTGGGCAACACGCCAGCTGTGCGCGAGAACAGCCGTCTGTCATGCGCGACCAGGACAACCCAATGGATGCTCACCGCGGGCTTTTATGGGCAAACTGACTTTAATACTTGACGTAATATTGCACTTCTGATTCGAGAACCTGGCTATTAAACACATCGCGCTACTATATTTGGACAAAACAGCAACTGAATATCAGTTGGTTTTTAGTAAAGTTTCGGGTAGTTTTTGTGCACCGTGTGTAACGTTCGCTAGTGAGATTTCCTGTGCCATAAATCCCTTAGACCATCGGCGCGACCCTACACTATGGGGCAGGGCTGTCACGACTCGGCCCCGCTTGTGGGCTGGGGGTGGGACTGCGAAGTAGTATCGAGGGGAGACGCCTCTCCAGGGCTATTTGAATGATGGACGTGTGGCAAAGACCAGTAAACTCTAGTCAGTCATGCGCCTTGCTTTATCATTCCTGAGGATGACCACCCGCCGAAGCGCTGGCAAAAGGCTCATCATCGGAGTCACGGATTCTCGGAATCGTATACGCATTGCGTTAGAAGTGTTTGCATTCTACAGCATATCCCATTCAGTTGCCCCCCTCGGCAGACCCATTTCTGTTCGGGACATGCTTCTTCAGATTTGAAGAGCAGTGGTTTAAGCTACCTTACACTGTCTGTGTGTCTCCTGTCTTTCAACCAAACGTTCCCTGGATCGCAAGAAATTATGTATTTGTACTTCTGCCCTTCTCTGTGACACTTTCGGCTTCCGAGCCCTCGATCCCGCTACCTCCAGCGGAGAGGGTCTGGGGGAGGGGGGGGGGGGGGGGGGGTGCACGGCGATGGGCAGGCAGTCAGCCGTCGCCCGCCGAGCCGACACCGTCAGCTTCGCCGTGTCGCCATTCACGAAAACGCTGCTTTCAAGGCGAAGCGCGCGCCTGTATCGCCACCGGAATCTACATCGATTGATTCCTGGCCTTCCAGACAAAACTCAGCACCATCTCGAGCTATTTATTCATCACGAAAGTATTTAAAGCCCGTCACAAACGATAAACGCGAACCGGAAGCACCATTAAACATTCAAGGTCAGCCGCCATGTTGGAGGGCAGGTCCCACCGTTCCGCTGCGTCAGTTAACCCAGGTCAGCAAATGAGACCAGGCGAGCCCGCGCCGACTGCAGCAGGGTCAGGTCAGGTCAGGAGACAAGACCCGTCCAGCCCGCGCCGACTGCAGCAGGGCCAGCACAGGTCAGCTCAGCTCAGGTCAGGTCAGGTCAGGAGACAAGACCCGCCCAGCCCGCGCCGACTGCAGCAGGGCCAGCACAGCTCAGGTCAGGTCAGCTCAGGTCAGGCCAGGAGACAAGACCCGCCCAGCCCGCGCCGACTGCAGCAGGGTCAGCACAGGTCAGGTCAGGTCGGGAGACAAGACCCGTTCAGCCCGCGCCGACTGCAGCAGGACCAGCACAGGTCAGCTCAGCTCAGGTCAGGTCAGGTCAGGAGACGAGACCAGACCAGCCCGCGCCGACTGCAGCAGGACCAGCACAGCTCAGGTCAGGTCAGGAGACAAGACCCGCCCAGCCGCGCCGACTGCAGCAGGGCCAGCACAGGTCAGCCCAGACGGACCGAGGCCAGCTCAGTGCAGGCCAGGCCGACCTTACCCGGCCAGCTCGATCCGCACCGCGCCGCCCCGCCAAGCCCGGCTGCCACCGGCGGCTCCCGCCCGGTCAGGCCCAGCCCCCACCCGCCCCTGTCCGCGGCGGGCTCCCACACCAGGGCCCTCGTCCAGCCGAGGTCAGGGCACCTCGCCGAGCAGCGTGACGTGGAAGATGCCCGCGTCGCCGGGCGGCTGCAGCAGACGCAGCGTCAGCCGGCCCGAGTACAGCCCCGGCCCCGGCGGCTGGAAGTACACCGGCAGGTGGATGTAGCGCCGCGAGCGGGACAGCATCTGGCCGTGGTTCACCGAGAACGGGCCCGACACGTGCAGCTCAAACTGGCGGCAGAGCGGGCGCCGGTCAGAGCGGGCGTCGCATTCGCACCGCCCGCACACGCCAAGTCGGCCACGTTTTCGCGGAAAGGTGGAATTACTTCTCAGCAACGGCGACTGCTTACGAGACTAAGGTAACGCATATTTCGGTGGTGTCGGCTGCAGAGCGTGGTCAGAAGTGACGAAGCGAACAGTGGAATGTGCAATTATGCACAGACTTATCACGCGACCTTCAAGTGGCATGAACAACGTACATCTCCACTCTACGCAACATCGAACGACTTTATGAACGACGTTGACAGGACATAACGCCGGCCTGGGCCCACACACGGTAACCATACCAGACCCCGACGGAGACCACCCGGGCCGCCGGCGTGCCGGGTCACGGCGCGGGCCGCCGCCTCACCGCGTAGTCAAGCCGGCTCTTGTTGTTGATGGTGAGCTTGACGGCGCGCTGGTCGGCCGGGAACTCGATGGTGTCCGGCTGCACCGTCAACGGGAAGCGGCGCATCTCCGGCGGCGCCGGCGCGCCCTGGCCGGCCACACGCACCAGCAGGCAGGACGGCATCACCGACTGCTCCCGATCCCTGGTCGCCGACGGCACGGCACGTCACGTCACGTGGTGGAGCGCACCGGCCAGCAGACATGACGGTATCACCGACTGCTCCCGGTCCCTGGCCGCCGACGGCACGGCACGTCACGTCGCGCGGTGGAGCGCGCCGGCCAGCAGGCGGCGCGACCGGCCCGGAACGCTGGCCGAGACAAGACCGCACGACCACGCCGACAGCTGCTTCGTGGTTGCGTGAGCCGACTAGGCGCATTCCTATTTTTGTCGATACGACATATGACAGCGAAAAGACACACCAGTGGACCTGTTTGTAAACACGGAATGCTTGATATTTAGTATGGAGACACATTCAAGGGGGGGGGGGGGGGAGGAGCATATCGGGAGACTGCCCTCCCGCATAATGCATGCTTGATTTTTGCGTTCCAAGCAATATGCATGGGGTGCAATATAAACCGTTCAAACCACTATTCAGTGTAACATTTGTCACCGCACCCCTCCCACCCGAAACCAAAATCGGGCTCACGTTCCTCCGCCCTATCCAACGCGTCCCCCTCCCCGCCAGCCGGTCGTCAGCCCATCCCTCACACGCCGTCCCTCCACCCTCCAGCCAGCCGGTCACCAGCCCACCTCCTCACACGCCTTCCCCCTCCCCCGCCCACCGGCCACTCACAGGATGTCGGCGTCGGCGCTGGCCACCAGGTAGAACGTCTGTGTGAAGTAGCCAGCGGCCGGCGGGCTGAAGCGCGCCGCCAGCGCCACCGTCTGGCCCGGCGGCACCTCGCCCTGCGTCGGGTGGAACCGGAACACGCTGCCGCCCACCTGGGTCAGGTCGCTCGCCCGCGGTGTGCTCTGCGGCGCGCGCGCACGCGTCACCAGGCGGCAGAGTGCGCGCGGGGTCGCCACGCGTCGCGGTTTGGGTCAGGGGCGTGGTAAAATGAGTTGGAGGAAAATGGGGAGGGGGAGGGGAGGACTGAGAAGTGAAAATTGGCGAAGTGCGCCCACAAAATACTCAAACTTACCCAAATTTGGCCCACTTTCCCCCCTTTCTTTTCAGAGTTTGACGAGGGCTCGAGTCCCGAATAGGCAGTCTTATCCCTGGTTTCGGCATCATGACGCACGGGACGTGAGAAACAGACAGCAAGCCACGACTGGGGGACGTGTATTTTGGCACCAGACAGACACCGGTCACCAATCCTAAATCCAGGCTGCTCGCCAACCCAGCGGACGCGCAAGCACTTTGTGCGGGGCCCTGTGCAGAACCAGTGTTCGGGCGCATTTGCTAGATCGCGCATCGGCCAGAATCCCGAGAACCCCAAACACACAGTCAGGCGGTAAGCAGAGCGGCAGGGCGGCCTGCGCCCCGCGTCACGCCAGCCAGTGTCGGCCCTCGCCGCGCCATAACTGCGCTCACGGATGGACCAGCACCGGCTGACCAGCGCCCAGCACCAGCTCACCTGTATCCAGGGGCGGACCAGCGCCTCCAGCGACCAGCGCAGCCGGACGCCGCTGCCGTTGCTGAAGCTCAGCGCGCCCGCCGAGCGCTGGCCCAGCGCCGTCTCCGGGAACAGCACCTGGTCGCTGGCCAGCTGGAGGAGACGCGGCCCGTCGGCGGGCGCCGCGCGCGCCGCCGCCGGCGGCTCCGGCGTGCTCCGCTCCGCGTCCGGGCCGGACGACTCCAGCGAGGCGTCCGACGGCGGCCGGCGGCCGGCCGGGGTCGGGCCGCCCGCGCACCGTAGCCTCTGTGCCGCACACGGACGGCCTTACACGCTGCCCGGCTCACCGCCCTCGTCCCGACCAGGCTGATGGTCCTGGATAGCGTGGCCGCGCGGCGACTCCGAACGCCGATACGCTGAGGCGCACTCGGCACCGCTGCGGTCTCGTGTTCAAAACGCACCTCGCTATCCCGAGTTAGCGACCGCCCAGTCTTGTGTTGCCAAAACAGCTGACAATGTTACACATCGGGGACAGCCCTAGCAGCCAGCGCACGCATTTGGCTAGTCAACGAAACACCGAAGCCAAACGTCAGTTCCCCAGTGATGTCCTCAGTAGTGCTAACAGGAGCACTGACCCGACCGAGGCCTGCCCCGCCTGACCCGCCCCCGTGAGACTCCCGCGGAAACGGCGGCTGGCGGGTGCGGGGTCTCACGTTGGTGTGAAGGGTGTACGCGGCCGGCTCAGTGGGCGGCAGTGGCGCCGGCGGCGGCGGCTGGACGGCCGAGCTCCGGGCGGCGGCGGCGGCACTCGGCACCCCCCGCTGGGCCCTGCCGAACGGCCTGCACGTCATACGGCGAGACGGCCGGAGCCGGGCTCAGACGGCCGGAGCGGGGCTCAGAGACGGTCGGAGCCGGGCTCAGAGACGGTCGGAGCCGGGCTCAGAGACGGTCGTAGCCGGGCTCAGAGACAGCCGGAGCCGAGCTGAGAGACGGCCAGAGCCGGGCTGAGAGATAGAGCCGGCTCTGTGGATGTTGTTGCGGGGCTCCAGCATGGCAGCGAAATACAGGCCCGCCGCCGCCGACAGGCAAGAACATGAACGACGCCACAAGAATCACACAGAAGCTCCAGCCACAGGCCACGCCACAGCACCAGCTCAGCTGTGACGTCCGTGTGGCGAGGGCCGCTTCACCAGGGACTTCACTACAGGGAAGAGCCGGGACTCGAAGCGGCCGCAGGGCGACAGCGACGCAGGGGCCGCAGTCCGGTGCTCACCGCGTCACGTTGCTGTAGGAGGTGCAGTTCAGAATGCTGGCGACGGTGTCGTCCGCGTGCAGGTTGGTGAACATGTCGGACGAGTCCATAGAGCGGGTGCTGAGGGTGGCTGGAGAACAGGCATTGCCGGGCGAACTGATCACGCGTTCATTCAAGACTGCCTTAAGCTACAACAGGCGACTTCGCCACGCCTACAGCGGCGCACGACGCACAGACGGACCTCGCGAACTCTGAATGACACCAGAATGCACCGCGCTTTACGGCGAGAGCTGGCGATGTCGTCCGGCATGGAGCGAGTTCGTGCCACAGACCTGGCATAAAGAACACACCTGCTCACGCCCGACAAGACATGGCCGAACGAAGAACACACACGCCAAGAACCGCCCACACTTGGCGAATAACTGCCAAACCATGCCAACACCCCTCCCAACACACATCAGGCCGGGCGGAACCCACGCCATCCCTGCCCCGCCGACGGCCGCCGCACCTTTCACCGGCAGCCGAATCTCGCGCACGTTGGCGAAGAACGTGTCGGCGAGGCCGGGCAGGCGCTGGATCGCAGCCAGCTCGGCCGGGTCGGCGGGCGTCTCGCCGTCGAACGCGCCGCAGAGGTCGACCGCCATCAAGCCGGGCGAGGCGTGGCGCGACGAGAGCGGCCGGTCCCGCGGCAGGCTGGCGGCACGGCCGGCGCCGACGTCAGGGCGGACACAGCGCCGCCGTCGCCACGCGGCGGCGGGGAGACGGGTCATCCCACGGCGGCCGCAGCACACACGGACGCGGGCAGCCCGTGCTGCGCCCGACGTCGGAGATTGCAAGATGGCGACAACAGACTCGGGATTGCGCCGACAGACCGGCAGAAGCGGAGACGCTGCAGCCGCCGCCGCACCAGCCCACTAACTAATCCTGTCACGAAGCAACTAACTGGCCATTCGTGCAGCGAGAGCAAATATTAGCCAGGTAACCTTGCCTTCCTGCCGGCGCCACACCCAGCACGTCCTCCGCACGCGACATCCACACACGGGAGCCCGTTTGGGCGACGGGCCGGTCCGCACCGCGCCAGCCGGGCCCGCCAGCAGCCGCCGCGGCCGCGAGAGTCCTGGAGCGGCGCCCGTCCGGCCAGGGCGGCCCGGGCGGCCCGGGCGCCGGCCGGCTCACCGTCGGAAGGCGTGACGCAGCACCTCGTCGCCTGTGAGCAGGCGCAGGCAGGCGGGCGCCGGCTCGCCGGCCGGCACGCGCAGCACCAGCGCCACCTGGCGGCCCTCGCCGGCCGCCAGCACCAGCTGCTCAGGCCGAGCGCTGAACTGCGACGCCGCCAGCGGGTGCAGACAGCCGGCGTCTGCAGACGCGGCAGGTCGGTCAGCCGAGGATGTGGCGCGCCGAAAAGCGAGGAGAACGTTCGAGTGCGCGCGTGTGTGTGTGTGTGTGGGGGGGGGGGGATAGCTCGACCAGCTAGTCGAGCTGCCAGCTTCCATTCCACGCGCAGCAGCAGCTCAGCGCACATCATGACGCGTCTGCCCTTCACAGATATCCAACAGTTAAAGCGAGCGCACGTCGATCCGCCACCGCCGTCCTTTCACACATCCTGGTCCGGTCCTCTTACTCGCACCCCTCCGTGCGCCACGCCTCCCATCCCTGGCCTCCCCGGCCGCCCTGCCGCCGTCCCTGCGCGGCGGCCGCACAGCACGCACCCCTGAAAGCGACGATCTTGACGAAGGCGCGTCGGTCGCCGACGTTGGCCACGGTGAGCGGGGTGTGCACGGTGGCGCCGGGCTGCACCTCGCCCAGCCGCAGCCCGTCGGCCGGCGCCACGTTCAGCTGGATCTCCGAGCTGCCGCTGTAGCCGACCAGTGGGATCTGCCACGGGGGAGCGTCACAGACGCGGCGTCTCGCGACCAGAGACGGGAGACAGGCGGGATCTGCCACGGGGGAGCGTCACAGACACGGCGTCTCGCGGCCGGGGACGGGAGACAGACGGGATCTGCCACAGAGGGAACGCCACAGGTACGGCGTCTCGCGGCCAGGGACGGGAGACAGGCGGGATCTGCCACGGAGGGAGCGCCACAGGTACGGCGTCTCGCGGCCGGGGACGGGAGACAGGCAAGATCTGCCGCGGGGGAGCGTCACAGACACGGAGTCTCGCGGCCGGGGACAGTAGACAGGCAGCGAGTCGGGGCTGATGGCCAGGGCAGCTGGTTAAAGAGCAGCCCAACCGTTGGGCAACACTGAAACGGCACACAAATATACCGGGACGATGGGTTAACGATCGAATCCGAGTACAAAACAAACTAGAGCGACCCAACATGCCACCCAACCACGGGTCAGGGGTGGCGCATTTACAGATGACATGTGATCGAGCCTGAACCCGAACCAATGCCTATACCGCGGCCGGGTACTGACGGTAAACTTGATGTTGCGGTCGGCGGCGGGCCGGGCCGGCGGCTTGATGACCAGCAGGCCCTGCGCCGCCTCCACCTGCGTCGGCTGGTAGACCAGCGTCAGCTCGTGGTCCGTCTGCGGCGCCAGCTCCAGCGCCAGCTCCTGCGCCGAGCCGGCGGCGCCGGGCTCGCCAAACGCCCGGAACTGGCGGCGAGCGGCCTCCGTCAGTCGGGCGGCGGCGGCGGCGGCACGGTGCGCCGCTCCCAACCACTGGTCGGCGCGGTGATGCGCACGGAACACGGGCGTCGGGGAGGCGTGCGACGTGGATCGCACGGCCTACGCAGCGTGACCAGCGGGGTGCAGCAACGGGGAGGCGAGCAACGGTGGGGCAGGGGTAGAAACATGACAAAAAAATAATTGGTCAGGCCAGCACTAGGCAGGACACGCCTGGACCGGACGGACTGGACAGGCTCCATCTGATCAACGCATCGTATCAAATCGGATCGGATCAAATCAACGCACGTCGGCTGAGATCGCCACCCTCAGAGGCCCGGCTTCCCCCACCGACAGCTCCCGACATAGCAGCCCGACGACCCCGACCGCCGCCCTCCCCTGCCCTCGTCCTCTCGCCCGCGCCGGCGGCCGGCCCGGCCCGGCACGACTCACCGCGAACTGGGTGGCGTTGCGGATAGTGAGGCGCAGCTGGAGCGGCTCCGTCTGGGAGCCGTTGCGCAGGACCAGAGAGCGGGTGGTGGGGCGGCCGCAGCGCGCCCCCGTCCACAGCAGCAGCTGCTTGTTGCTGCGCAGCGACTCGGCCGGGTGGGAGAGCCTGCGGCACAGGCGCCGCTCAGTCGGAGCAGAGACCGGCGACGGGAAACGGGCGCAGCGCATCCAGGCGACGCCGGTCGCGGCCACGCCTGACGAGACACCAACAGCGCCGGCAGAGGAGTGCAAAAGGGCGCCGACAAACTAACCGCTCGACTGCACGAATGAGTCGGTCATTCATCAGCGCACTGGTGATCAGGAGTGACGACAAAATAACCGCACGACAGCACGTAACGACGTAAACACCACCGGAAAAGACCTTCCGCAAACAGCGAGGCATATTACAACAACGTGCACATGTCGCACATCAATCCAAACAACGGCAGATCGCAGATGCAGCGATCCGCGCCACCTGGGCAGCACGGCTGCTCCGACCAGAGCGTTCGGCATCACATCCAACGCGCCTGTCATCGCTCCGAGCGGCCCGACGGCGTATCGTCGCCGGCCGTCGCTAGGCCCGCCTACCGGCTCGGCGGTCCGGCCGGCCCGCGGACGGGCGGCGTCTGGTGCTGGGGCGGCGACCGGACCTGCTCGCCCCGCTCGGCCGGCGGCGCCAGCGCCAACAACGAGGTCTGCACGGCCGTGTCGCGGGCAGCGCGGCCGCCAGGGCTGGCGGCGCGGGCCGGCCGCGGACTGCGGGACCTGCCAGCGCCCGGGCACGCAGGTCAGACAGACGGTCGAGGGTCAGAGACGGTCAAGGGTCGGACGGACCGGGCACAGGGTCAGACGGACCGGGCACGGGGTCAGACGAACGGGCACGGGGTCAGACGGACCAGGCACTGGAAACAGTTGGCTGGACAAATGAGGTTAGACGGGCAGCCTCGATCTCCTCAGCCTCGGACCTGACAAGACGTACATCACTGCCAGCTCCGCTGACGGGCCATCAAGGGTAGACAAATCTGTCTGCGCACTGCCGAGCTCAGGACATGATCATCCACAGATCAGCAGGTCGAAGGTCACGGCGATCATTGATCGCACACGACTCGGCGTTTGACGCACAGCTGCAACGCTTTGCAGCGGCAGTGACGGACCGTCTACCAGTCGCCACAAGCCAGCATCTGCGGCGGGCGCCGGCGCGCTCCACACCGCCGACACCGCGACGCCCGGGCGGCCGGTCGTCCGGGCGGAGCGCGGCCCCGCTCACCTGCTGCGTGAGTGAGCGCGCTCCCTCCTCCTGGTCTTGGTGAGGCGGCGGGCCGACTTCATCTCGGGCGAGCCGACGCGCGGCCGCTCGCCGGCCCGGCTCTCGCCGATCACGCCTGTCGCCGAGGCCGGTCAGCGCGTGACGCCCCCGACGGCGGCCCGGCCGGCACGGCACGGCACGGCACGGCACGGCACGCCAGCCATACGAGACGCGAACAGAACGTCTGCACCACGTCTGCACAGCGTGGTTTTTAAAACCAGAAAACGACCCCAGCAGTCAGTGTCCCATTTGATCCAAACCATGAACAAAACAAGCGATCGCTTGCTTTCCGCGCTGTCAGCACACCTCCGACACATTTGCCGGCTGGGCCGAGGAGCGCGGGCAGTGCCGCAGCATAGGCGCTGGCGCCGCGGGCGACCGTCGCACCTCGGATGTCGACCTCGTAGGACGGCCCATCCGGCTGGACGGTGAGCACGACGCAGCCGCTGCCGCCGCTCTGCTGGTCGAGCGGCTGGAAGGTGAGCATGACGTCGCGCTCGGCGCGAGGCGGCACCGTCACGCGGTCAGGCCGCACCCAGACGGCGTCGCGCAGGCCGGACACGGCCAGACGCAGCTCCAGCGCGATGTTACCTGCCGGCGGCGGCGGGGAGCGGCGGCGCGCGGTCAGGGCGTGGCCGCACCGCGGCGCACACGGCACCGCCGGGTCCGAGGAGAGGCGCAGCCGCTCGGCCACACGCAAGGACTCATCACCGGAGACGACGCCGAACCGGAGGGCATCTACGTCGACAGGTAGCGTCAAGGTACGGCGTCTCGGTTACACGGCGATGGGTCCTTCTGCAAAGATGATGCTGACACCACCATCCCAACGGTCCGCGCCGACACCCGCCAATGTTGATAACATCGGACACGAATCGGAAGATCGTGGCTGACAGGCGACAGGACATTCGCCAGCACATCGGCAGAATGCGTATTTTCCCAGCATAAAGACAAACAGACGAACCGTTTCAAACCTCGAGCAGCTCGACCCAGCCGCCTGAGAGCCAACACCACTCGGCACATCCTCTGGACCATTCCTCGCAGCGTCACACCCACGCGTTCGCAGAGAGCCCACGCGACCGACCTGTGTTCTTCATGGGCAAGTTGAGGGAGGTGGTCTCGGACGGGCGGCAGCGCATCTCGAGCGGCTCGCGGCAGCGCGTGCGCAGCTTGACGCGGCCGACAGTGGCCAGGAGGCGGCACGAGAGCAGCGGCTCGGCCGGCGGCGGCGCGGCGCCCTCCAGCTCCAGCTGCAGCGTGCCCTGCACCGTCTCCAGCGGCGGACAGTCTGCGACGACCGGCAGCGCGACGAGACGCGCCTTTTGTCAGGAGGGTGCGACGAAAAACGCGACGCGCGTAGAGCGAATGTCCAGCAGAGTAGCCGTGCCAGGGCATCGATGGTTTGGACCAATTCAGACTAAGACGACTTCACGGTGAAGATCACTACGTTGTTAGACAGCCCCGAGTCGAAGTCGACACAAGACAGCACTGAACCACCGGCGACACCGGCCAAGACCGCCTCCAAAGACAGATCGCGCTGTCCGCCGTGAACACCACACAACCCCGCGCCCGTCCGCCCCGCCGTCCGCACCTTTCTCGGAGCCGATGCTGGGCGTCAGCAGGGCCACGTTGAGCGTGACGGGCGAGATCCCCTGGCGGCTGGCATCGGCGGCCGGCAGCGTCAGCTGTGCCAACGTCGACGTCAGCCGGGTCGGCGCCGACGCCGCCTCCGTCGGCTCCAGGTCCGGCAGGTGAAAGGCGCGCCCGGCAGACAGCAGCTGGCGGCGGCGGAGGAGGCGGGCTAGCGAGCGGACGGACGCCGCCGGGCCGTGCCGGTCCGGCGGCGCGCGGAGGCATCGACGGGAGGAGCGCCCAGATATCCGATGACGTGAAGGACCGTCTGCGTGCATGTACGTCTGGGTGCCGACCGACATCACCCCAGGAAAGAGCCCCTCCCCCACCCTGACGTCACCCCTGGCAAGGTCAAGGTCAAGGCCACCGCGTGGCGACTTGCACCGAGCGTCGCACCAGTGTCCGAGACGCTCCGCGCCGTGGCCGTGTTTCTGACGATTAGAGCGAGACAGGCGAATCTACGAAGTCGCCCCAGCTCAGCAGAATACCGTGCTCTCTCTCCAATACAGCACAACCGCCTGCGTACGCCGTCCTTCGGCGGCCATCGCTAACAGTGACCGCTCTATGGACAACCCGGCCGCCGGTGCACGGACAGGTCCGGCCAGCGGCGGACACACGGGCCCGTGCCGTCAGACGGCAGCACCCCAGCCAGCCACACGGCGGCGGCGCTCACCGACAGCGTAACGGGCACGGCGGCGCGGCTCAGGTTCACCAGCGTCAGCGGCACCACCTTGCGGCAGTCCTCGGGCAGCGTGCCGAAGTCCACCAGGCCCGGCTCCTGCGAGAGGATCTCCACCTGGATGCAGCGCGGCGGCCGTCAGACGCCGTTCGCGCTCGGCTGGGGAGTTGGGCGCTGTGACGTGCACGACCCGCGAGGCTTCGTGGTGAGCCTGGCGAGCAGGCGCACCTTGTGGCCGTCGCTAGCAGCGCCGCCGGCTCGTACAATCCACAGAAATAAAGCTACGGCCAAATCACAAGGCAGAGGAGATGACAGCGCAAATCAGTACCGCGCAGCCCACTTCCGATAAATCCCGCGCCGTCATCCCACTCCCCCGTCCTCATCCGCAGTCCCACTGTGTTTCTCGCCGGCCGCAGTCACCCTGCGCCACCCGGCCGCCAGCGCCGCCGGCGGGCGAGGCCAGCCGTCACCGACGCCGACTCGTCGCCATCCGGCCGCCAGCGCCGCCGGCAGGCGAGGCCAGCCGTCACCGGCGCCGACTCGTCGCCATCCGGCCGCCAGCGCCGCCGGCGGGCGAGGCCAGCCGTCATCGGCGCCGACTCACCGCCGGCCGCTCCGCCATCAGTCGCAGCTGCACGAGCCCGAGCGGGGCCGCCGTCGTCGCCGGCGGCCGACCGATCCGCTCCGCCCGCAGCTGCAGAGTCAGCGCCACCCGGCCGGCCACGCGCGGCGTCACGCCCACCTGGGGCAGGGGAGGGACACGCTGCCGGCGGAGGGCAAGGACGACGGGCGAGCGCCAGGGCCGCGCTGCGGCAGCCGGGGCTCGTGACGCGGGCCTCTGTCTGCCTGATGACGCAGACATCACATCGACTGACATTGCACTGCACGAATAGCGTCCGGCATGGACAAGTAGCAAAGTCAATATCCACGTTCTGAAAAGCCGCCAACGTCGTTGGTTGGTATTTATCTTGCATCGTAAACAGATCAGTGACATCACGGGAAACGCTCTGTCTTCAGCCCCCGCCCGTTCCAGCGCCTGTCACCGCGTCGCACTCCCAGCTGAGGGCATCATGTGGCGAGAGCAGACCGACGCCCCAGGACGTGGCTATCGCCTAACCTTGACGGCCGCTTCTTGGTGCCCATCCAGCAGCGTGCGGGTGCGTAGATGGATGCCCACCGCGTGCCCATCGTCCGGACAGCGTACGCCGTTCACCTCCAGACCTGCGGCCGGGGCAGACGTCAGAGGTCAGACCGGGAGCAGAGGTCAGGGCGGCGACGCAGGGGTCAGGGACAGGGCCACAGGGCAGATGTCCATGGGGTGGGGGAGGGCGCATGTCAGGCGGGGCAGAGGTCGAGGTGACCCAGGTATCAGAGATCAGAGACCGGGGCGGGGCGGGGCGGAGGCCCGGCGACGGAGGCAGAGGGGCGGAGGTAGGGAGCGAAGCGGAGACCAGACTGACAGAAGGCAGTGGAGGGGAAGGGGTCCGGGCGGAAGAGGTCACGTGCCAGGCGGAGGCCCAGGGCGAAACAGACCACAGAGCAGGAGTGGGAAGCGGGGCAGAGGCCATGACAACCGGCCGCCACAGAGCTGAGGCAGGCGGCCAAACACGATGGCACGGGCCTGCGACTCCGCTACCACCGCGCAGAACGCGCTCAACTCCGCCACCGAACAGCCGCAACACCAGGCCCGCACACGCCTGCAGCCACCAGCAGGCCTGGCCGCAGACGATGCGCGACACCGTCAGCACGACAGCCGACACCAAACCGACACCAGCCGTCGCGCAGCGCCACCCGGCGTCGAGCGCTGCGATCAGGCGGCGCTCGGCCGCGGTCCCCGCAGCTGACCCGTTCGCCGCTGGGGTGGCGCGCCAGCCGTCGGCCGGCGACGCCCCCAACCGCGGGCCTCACGTACCAGCCACGCCGGGCATCAGGTGCAGCCAGTGCTCGGTGAGGTTGCGCACGGCGAAGCTGATCTCCGCCGGCACGTCCGTGCAGAGCACCTCCGGGTGGGTGACGAGGTCGGGCGCCTCCACCAGCGGCGGCTCGCCGGCGGCGTCTGCGGACGGCGTGCCGGCCGGTGAGAACGCGCGCGGCAGACGCCGGCTGGCCGGCAGACTGCCGCGGTCGGCGATGTCGGTGGGTGCCATCGGGACTACGTCGACATGAGTCACGCAAAGCAGCTGACGCTTCATGTTCCGGCTAAGTATCCGCTGATGTTTGGTCGTGATTTTAGAATCTCTGAAATTAAAGCTCGTGGCCCATGACAATGGTACATTTCAACGAGCGAAAATTGCAAACGGCCAATGATGCACGCGTTTTGAGTTCAGCATTCTCATACTGACAATCATCGACCTCCAAAACACCAGAACGTACTGGCCAATCGACACTACCGAACAAACATTGATCAACACTCGTCGTTTGAATCCGTACCTTCGGAGGCCGTTTCTGCGGCCTGAACGGCCGAGTCCACCAGGCGTCCAGCGGGCACCGGTGCCGGGTGGCTGCTCTTCTCGTCCGGCCGCTGGCCCACCGGAGGCGGGCGGGCCGTGTCACCCGGCTGCTCACTAGCTGGAGCTGGCGGCGACGGGCCCGCTCTGACCATCCGCTGTTCGACGGGGACGGCTGGGGATGCACCACCCCTGCCCGAAACCTCCACCACCTCCTGACGCCGCACAGGAGCCGAGGCCGGCGCCGTGACGTCCACGGGCGGGGCCGGATCTGCCGTCACCGCAGGCGGGACCTGGTCGGCGGCCTCCGCCGGCGCCGACTCCGTCTCCGGCCCCGGCTCCGGCCACTGGCCGGTCTGCGCGCCGGCGCTCACCGACAGCACCAGCTTGCGACCGGCCTCCGGCTGCACCGGCGGCTGCTCGGCGCCCTCGGGCGGCAGCGACGCCGTCTGCGCGCCGGCGTCCCGCCTGCCGAGGCCGGGCGCGCGGCCGAGCGGCGGCGGGTGGGGCGGCGCCGCCGGCCGGTCGCCGCCGCTCGAGACGACGCTGGCCGGGTGCGCCGCGACGGCCGCCGGCGGCGGCTCGGCCCGCTGCAGCAGCGAGGGCGCGCTGTGGTGCGCCACCACCGGATCGTGCACGTAGCTGCGCCGAACCGGGGTCGGGATGCGGCTGCGGCGCGGCCGCACGCCGGCGGCAGCGCCCTCCGCCGAGGAAGAGCCGGCGGTAGCGGAG